TTCTGGCACCTTCTAGATTCTCCCCTTTTAGATGAGGACTGAACTTTGCTTATCAAAAATAAGTCTTGAAGARCGAGTTTCAGCCTTGGTTTCTGAGGAGAACYAAGACAGCACGGGAGCTTTGAGCCCCCGGCTTGGAGGTTTTGGGAAAGTTTTGTCTTTTTGCCCAGGAAAATACTGAAGCACAGGCTACAATAATATGCCACAAAGCTACAAACACCCCAACTAAATAATGCACACCAGCTTGGACCTCATTAATCAATAGGACTGGCTTCTCCCTGCTTGGGGTCACACTTGGGGCGAAGTGTCAGTAGAAAGGAGCACAACTGCCTCAGGTACTTCCCAACCCCATCCCCTTCATGGACTTGCAGAGGATGCTTTCTGGTTCCAAAAAAAAAAAAATAAAAAAAAGCAGGGACAGAGGCAGGGAGGTAAGAACCAGGGTCTCTGCTGTGCCTGGAGTTCCTTGAAGAGGCTCCCTTTACCCTGCTCTGCCCCGTCAGGTGCTGAATTAATCACCCTTCCTCCAGCTCCTGGGGTTCTGAGCCRATTTCTAATTTTCTGGATGACAGATTCACACTTCCTTCAGCCTCCAGCCCAGCAGAGATCTCCCACAAGTGCTAATGGCACCTTCTGGGGCAGTGCTGGTGTGAGGACAGAGCCCACCACATCACCCACAGCAGTGAGATAATGTGCAATTTTCACCACAAAGCTCCCAACTCAATACCAGGGTGGGTAGATCCATCAATACTTGACTCTGTGTGAAATTTCCWCCTCTCTTTCTGTTTTCCCTCTGCTTTGTTGGGGTTGGTGGCAGTGARGAGCAGGGGAGGGAGGTGGCAGAGCTCACCTGTTGCAAATGAAGCAAAAGGGCACCTACCTCCTTTTGTCATCGTCTGATATGGATTCTTCTGCTCTGCAACATCAAAAGATAAAAAGAGTGTTAGCAGATTGTTTCTTTCAAGTGCTYCATGGCCCATCTGGAAAAATTCAGGTGCAAGGGAAGAAGGGGACTGTTACTGACCCCAGTTTAATTCAGGTCATCCACAATTCTACAAAATACACAGGTACCAAAAAAAAAAGGCAATTTTCCAATCTAGTGTACAAAAGAAAGGAAGGATTGAGAATAAATGCAGCTTATTTTTTATGATCCCCACCATCTGAAAGTAGATTTGAGAGGAGAAAGGGGTAAATTAACCCCTTCCTGAGTGAGTTCACACTCTGTTCCTCACATGGAAGAACATTAAGGTTCTGCACCCAACAGGAGCAAGCCTGGATTGCTGTTCCCTAAAAAGGGACTGAAAGGGATGGGGTGTTTGTAAGTCAGGATGAAGAGAAAGAAACTTTCACAGCAGCTGTTCCAGGGCCTCTCCATAAAATGAGGCACAGCAGTTCCTGAATTCTGTGCAAACCAAAAGCTGTTATGGATCCCGTGTAAATGGGCAATTGTTGCTCCTGTAACTGAGGTTGATTTCTCCCACTTTTGTACTCTCCAGTGGCGCTGAACTGGAGCAGGGGGTAAAGTAACCAGCACTGATGTGAAGGCAAATGTAAGACAGAAAATAAGAGGGATTTATTCTTACTCCCTCTGCGTACAATGCCTGTGCTGCAGTCTCCCTCTGTCCCAACTTCAGTCTTCACACAAATCATTCACCCACTTTTGGTTAAATATTTGGATTTTGAGCTCTACTTCCATGGCTGGGYATGGATGGGGCAGCAGTTGCACTTYAGCTTGGTCTGCAGCCATTTTMTTTATTTATTCTAAAAGGTTGATGTGCCCACTGTTTGATCATTGGGGCTCTTTGCCTTTACAGGGCCTTGAATTCAATGGGATTTCAGCCTGAAGGGCAGAGAGCTCACAGCAGGACGCAGTCTTAAGCATGAAAAAATGCTCTTAAACCTCCTAGGAGGTGAGCAAATGCCTTAAAAATCCTGCTACAATTTGGAAATATTTTTACATCTGCCTTATTTCTAAGGGGCAGGACATCACCAGCCGTCCTTTCTGCATCAAYGCAGTGGATAAGGGCACACAGGTCCTTTTAACAGCAGAGGTTTGGAGGAAATCTTATTATTCTGCCATTTTGCTGAATTATATTTATGCAGGGCATGGCTGTCTCTGTCTGCATCTTACCACTCGAGAAAGACTGATCAATAAACTCCTCATTGCCTGGCCCTCCTGCCATCCCTTCCTGGAGGAACTGGAGCCATTTCAGAAGATATTTCCCATCCCCTGGGACCCCACAGAGTCACCCAAGTTATCCTACAGTCCTCACACACACAGCCAGAGATTTTTCCCTGAGGATTGTCAAACTGTTCTTTCCTGGTGTGGGTCAGTTCCTCCTGAAGAAAATGGAAAATTATKCACTACCCTGTGTGCATCACTGGGTAGAAATGAGGGAAAAATAAAAATTATACTTTAAGGAAAGGACTCTGGGTGCCCAAAGATCACAAACAGTAATTTCTRTTGAACCAACCAAATGTGTCACAGGATTGATTTTCTCATACAATTAGGAACGTTTTCTATAATCCAGATTAACCATTGTTAAATGAGAAATGAGTCCTTTAAAAGCACCGAAAACTTCATGCACAGCTTGAAGCCTCTCAAATGGAGTTTTAAGAATAATAATCAATATTGTCCAGCAGGAAATTAATGTCAAT